TCACTATGTGGGTGAAATGAATCAACACGTAGGGTGGTATTTTACGAAAGAACATTGTTCACTTTACCAAAGGTGTACCCCGACTCCGAATGGCTGGACCTTGCTACGTTGTGAGCAGAAATTGAACTCTGCGTCTCGCAGCCTACGCACTGGATTTTGTGGCACATTTTTGCGGCGTTACTTGACGTTTCGGCAAAACATTCACATCTTTTAGAAGAGCCGAAAAATACCATATGGAATTCATGATGGCGTTATTCTTAGCACAACTGACTCTAGGCTATTCACATGCGCCTTGCTTCGGTCGTTACTGAAGTACTTCCCAAATCTCGTGTCGCCCGAGCGAGATGTCTAGTTCAATCTCATGCAACATGAACAAAAAGTCAGATATCCCTTTTGCTAATTTGCAAAGATTTACTCCCTCACAACAGGCTGTTTCTATAGTATAGATTTCTCCATTTTAACAGCTGGCACCTTGATGAAACTGGAGAAGCCATCTCATCGCTTGGTTCACGACCTGTATGACGTGCACTCAGTTTTTCAGTTCCGCATTCCTGCTATTTATAAATTCACTAATATATTATGCTACTGACAAGGTATGAGTAACTCATTTAATTTACAATTTCTTGGTCGGTAGCTCTGCTAACCAACCCAACAGATAACGAACGAATTAATAAAGCTTTACGTTATTTCATTTGCTAACCGATTTAATCATCGTAAACATGATTACTTAACCATTTTGCCTCCCTGTGTAACATTTAAAAAATCCCCACACCTGTTTATGTATACTCTTGTAGAACGATGGTTTATCAGTACAAATTATTATGCCCATTACTCTAGTTTCACATTGTCTAGACCAGGCGTCAGTTGGTAACCCGATTGGACCCCTACATTTCCTATTGTAACACCTCCTTCTGATCACCCACCAGATGACCAAACTTGTATTCGCTCAAATTCCAAGCGTTCTGACGACCAACCACACATTCGTCCATTACCAACGGCTCCTTCAGCAGGAAGCAACTGCAGCCACGCTTCGGTTTCCACACGTTCCCTGCGCGTAGTTTCAAGCTCCATTGAGGAGAATAAACAGCCTCCTCGGCCTATTCGAACTCTTGCGGAGCTTCGACCTATGTTGCGGTTGCAGTCGAACACAAATGCCCACTCGGTAACGGTTCTTTGTGTCACGACTGTGTGTGCGTGCTCATGCGTATTTTATCCTTTTGGGACGGAATCTGTTGAACACTTTTATGTTAGTTAGTTAGTTACCGCTTAAAGAATTGTGCTAAGCAAACCTCTTCCCACCTCACCTGGTGCATGGTAACAGTCAACCACTTCATGTGGCACGATTACATGATACATATGGTCCATTTGGTTGATGATATGGACTGATGCTGGTTCTCAATTCGCTGGGCGTGTCGGCGTCGCGTAATAGACCCCGTAACACGGAGCTAATGTACCCTGACCCACAATCACAATGTATCTAAGCCTTAACGTACTGCAACGGTTTGCTTACCTCAACGATCCGTGGTTTTGTGCTGGGTGGTGCTTTTTGCGCTTATCACTCATTCCAGATTGGTCAATCGTTAGAGGCCAAACAAACTCAATTTCCTGGTCCCCCAGGTAGGGGTTCGGAGTGAGTTTGGCTTCTTACTTCATAAAACAAACTCTTTGTTGCCTATTGTCAATATCCTTTGCCTTGCACTCAGGTTTTCGAACGAAAAGCTATGGTCGAGAACCATAATCATACTCCTGTCTATGCCTGAGCAGCATTACGTTATCCGGTCCACACAGTATACTGATAAACACTTCCAATTATTTCCTACTACTCTGGCTGTCTTAGAGAATAACTGTATACCAAATGCAGCATCAAGTGAGTGGGTTTGAGTGTCATGTAACTCAAATTGCCCGTCTTTTTATTTTCCATATTTCCCTTTTTCATGCTTATTGACCTTCGTTTTCTCCGGATTCTTTTCCACACTACCAGCTCTTGACTCTCTACCACGTTTTTGACAGCCGTATGTCTTCTAGATTTGTCTGATACCAACCACAGAATGTCACTCCTGCCTTACCGACTGGTTCGTTTCCAACCATGTAGACAATCTTGAATCACGCGCTTCTGCTTGAAGCTCTCAGTAGTCCACATGACTGGCATGTTTCGGTATGCGCTCTTTGTTACAGATTGGCCAACAGATGAACACTGGAGACCCTATTATTCGAAATCTGTTGCCTATTGGAAACCCGCTGCAAAACACCAGCTCCGTGATTACTCTGCGATCCCCCAACAGAGACAGTGACGGCACTTTTTCACTGCGTTTTTCCGGAGATGTTGCAACTCTGAGTGTCGGCCAAGCCGGTGTGGACAATGTTCTGGATTCAGGGCTGAAGCGGCCCTGATTGATTGGATCCCAATCAACAGCCTGATGCACGCCGTCAGATTGGCTGGCTCGTTTTAAGCTTTGAGGTCACGCGGGGCCTATAGATGCCCGCTTGTTATTGCTATATACACCCGTAAAAACTGGCACGGATTCGGTGAAGGATAACGTCTACCGCCAATGGAGTGGGATCCTACTTTACAGAAGAATTATGGATGCTGTACTCTTGGCTGGTGATCCGAATGCTCAAGTAGGAAATGTGTCCATTGGTGAGCTGCGTCCAGGCAGCTAACACTCTGTGTAGGCTCCCGTAATGATAACGATGAGCTGTCATTACGCCTACTTGAAGATGCTCGTTTATTTCTCGCGCGTGCTAACTTCCGACACAGCAATCGTCGGTGGTTGACATGGCGGCCACCAAACAAGACCCCAAATCGATAAGGTGGCGATCAGTTGCCGCTGGAGTGGTTGCATGCTAACCGTCGTTGGATCTGAAGTATAGGGTGTACTCCGACTATGCACTTTTATGTGCTATTTCGTGGTACTTATCAGTTGAAGTCCGCTATGACGCTGTGAACGCATTGTTGCTTGCTAACTGGAAAAGGCAGATGTTATGAATAAATAAATACATTTGTATATTTAGCGACAGACGGTACACCGGCCCCACAAGTGGGAGCGATCATTTTGTGTATGAGAGCTTCCTGCTTAAGCACTTACTGAACACAGTTGACGGCTATTCCTTGCATGTCCAGCAGACGTTATTCGCAGCGGGTATATCTGTGGCGACTCCGGTCATCAGCGTAGACGTTGAGTCTGTACGCAGTTTGTTCATCGACTCATTCGACTGGTAGCGAACACGAGATTCGCAACGATCTCAGGGCAAAACTGCTTGCTAGACTGAAAAGACGCAGATAATCCCGGTGGTCTTATCGTGTGTCGGAGATGGAAACAACCACCTTCCTTGGTAACCACCGCAATTTCTTTCATCTAATGTGAGAAATGGGCAGCAGGAGACCTGTGGTTAGCAGTGCAATACGCAACAAGAAGGAACAGGCTATTTATATAATATCAATACTCTTGGTGCGTTGCGCTGAGCATTTTGGAAAGCAATTTACTTAGCCGAAATCTCTAGATTCGCTGCCGGCTAGCGAACACCCTACTCTTTGAGCAGTTCTTAGGGAATAAATCCGCGCAGCCAGATGCATTTCCTCTAGCATTCTTTACATTTAGGATACTTGTATTTGTGGGATATTTCAACGATCTATTAGTAGAACTGTATGAGCAGGAAATTGCCCCAACCGACTGGGTTAGCTCCGTTATTGTCTTGATCATCAGAACGATATTCACATCCAGAGTAAGATATCAGCAGTACGCCGGTACACAGTACCGACGCTTCGCTGCCGCGTAATCATCACCAGTCGTACGAGGACCGTCTGTTCCCTCCACCCAGATTGGAGCCCACGCCATCGGATTATAAAGCCAATTCGTGATCTTTTAGGCAAGGGGTCGGTTACTTTCAGAATGCGCTAGTCATAAAGGTAGCCGTTTGACCTCAGTTTCCTCGACTTACTTGCCTCTATCGTGCATCGTAGATTGACTGGCAGCTCTGGAACCCACGAGCTCCTCATGATCTAGACTCCAAGCTCATTGAGTTTGTGGCGTACATGTACAATTTTAAACTTGTTCGTGTTGTACGGGGGTAGATCTGTCCTTGACCATTCAACAGCTCCATCAAATTCTTGTTGCAGCATATGGTTCTCCTGTTGATTGCCGTTGGATGAAACAGATGGAGTTGCTCCCGGGTGATCCGTTTTTTCAGCTTGGAGCATGCAGATGATATTGTCCAAATCGGTTATGGCTTACAAATATGTAAAGCAGCACGGTTCATCTTACCTTTGACCGTCAGTCGTTTTGGGCTGTTTTGTTTGTACTCTGCAACTGAAATGCTTTTCTTTATGATTGCCAGAGACTGCCCCCTTGCACTAACTCTGGTTTGAATCAGCTCGAAGTCATTCAGAAATTCACATATTTGGGCAGCTGTATCAACATCGTTGACTGTATTGCCAAAGCTGGAGTTCGATGCATTAAGTTCCCTGTAGTAACTTGAATATCACAATAAGAAGATGAATGCTGCAAGATGGTACCATTTCGGGTCCTCTGTTCACTTGCAAACGGACAACATATCAAACGATAAGGTGAGAAAAGAGAAATCAATGAGTTAAAAGCATGAGATCACATGCAAGCGAAGTAAACGTTGGCTACGGCTTGCGTAGGAATTATTAACTGTAAGGGTGTTTTAGCGTAACCAACATTTGCTTCTGGATGCAGAATGTTGAACAATGCTTTTTTATGGCCACTGTCTCAGCAAACATGAGGACTCTGGCGTTTGTTTTGCGATAGATGACAATAAATTCCGAGTTGGGGTCCACCTGATGACCCGTTTCCATCAGAGGTTTCGCTGGAGTTACTTTTGCCAATCTTCGCCACTTGTGGCGCGGGCGTGACATTGCTGTTGCCCTGAAGGATAGGATCTACAGTGCAGTCGGTCGTACAACCCTCCGGCACAGTAGTGAAATCTGGCCCATCTAATCGACAGACGTAGTCTTATTACGTTCAACTACCAGTGCCTTCGCAGGTTGTCCGACATTCGATGAAAACACCGCATGAGCAATAAACGTGTATGTGACGCAGGAATGGTGAGTAGATTGCTGTACACCATTATCGTACGCTCCAAGCTCCGATGTCCCGGCCACTTGTTACGAATGCCAGCACATCAATTCGCACTACTTGCATTTGCGCGGCCTGGATCCGGACGTAAGAAGAGGAAGGGAGGCCAACTAATGACTTAAGGAGAAGGACTAAAGACATTCCCTTCGAAGTTGTCTTCGGTTGCTCCGGAAGACAATAAACACGTTTGGTTTGATATACTTTTTGATATGGCCGGAAGCTGACCTCACTTGGATCTGTTTTTCGGGTATCTTAGTCCCTTCATCCTACTTATTCTCCCTTTATAACCACAATGGGACTGTCAACGATGATGCTGTGCTGTCTGCTTTTACGCTATCTTCAATCAGTATGGAAGGTGGAAACCGTCCCGGCTAACTTGTGTGAATTGATTATGGTGGCAATATACAAGAAGGGCAGTCGCACCGATTGTGCTAACTACAGGAGTATTAGCCTAACGCCAGTTGAGACATGATTACTAGCCTGGCTTCTCGTTCTTTGCCCCACTGCGGAACGCGAATCTCGGATTAGGGAAGTGCAGGCAAGCTTCCGCTCAACTCGTGGCTCTATAGACCATATATTCACTTTGCGGCTAGAGCAGCGCCGCACATACCGCAGACCGACAATAACTGTATTCCTCGACTTCAACAATGCTTCCGTCGATTGATGCATTCTGTTCGAAATATTTGTGTGGAAAGATGTTCTCATGAAATATATGCATATTTCTCATGCTCTGTACTCTAACACTATGAGTTATCTCAGGGTCTACGGTGACCTGTCGGATAGCTTTCCAATAACAAATGACGTTCGTCATGGTTGTCTGATTTCTTCTTTTTTGTTCAGTTTCCTCATCCACTTTATCCTGGAGTGATCCATTACGGAATCTCACGATGTAGGCGTTGTGATGCTGCCTCGTGAAAGGCTAGTGAATCATGATTAGGCAGACATTATCGTCTTGCTGTTTAAACAATGTTTGAGCGGTGCGATCAATCCTGAAAAACCTCCTTAGGTGGTCCCCTTACTTGATACGCGCTTCGTACCTTCAAAGTGTTGCTGTAGGATAACCAGTCATTTGATGATCCCTTGATTCAGGATAGCGAGGAATTCGAGGTAGTTGATCAATTCACTTATCTTTGATCAATGCTGTCTGCGGGGTATTGCGGGTTTCGGGTGGCACCAGTGAATCCAGAGCGGTGATATGCGTGGGCGATTGCTGGAAAATGATATTCAAGCGAGTTCCTGTGAAAAACACAGCACTGAATAAGTTGCGTTAGATTAGGCACGTACTACGCATGCCCCGTCACCGCTTACCTGAGGAGAGCCTTATTTTGTTAGTCAACTGAAGGCTGGCGCAAAGCTCGAGGTGGACAAAAGTTGGTATAGCAGCAGGAAATCAAGTCACTGACGACCAAACTCGCTGCCGTCAGTCCGTGTCGCCTTGTGCTTACCTCGAAACTTTACAAGACGTGGCTCGCAGTCCTCAGCAGTGACGCGTCTGCTGCCGTCTCCTACTCGGATTGCCTGTTTAAATTGTGTTATCTGCTGCGTAATGGCTGATTATGACACCGGGCAGTGAAATACGCAAGAAAGCTGGCTCGCTGATGCCGCCTTATATTCGCACGATAGCCAGCTGTTTGTGCTGATATGTTGCTGACAAGGTGTGGACGTTTTTCCCTGAATGTTTACTTAGGACATTAAGGTTTTCCGGTAAGTCCATCTTCTCACCTTCTTATTAGTCTTCATTCTGTAGTTCGTTATGGTTTGAATGGCAGCAAGCATCAGTCCAAATGTCAGATGTCTTGATGATGATGATGATGACGATGCTGGTGGTGGCGGTGTCTAGAACCAAAACTGCGGTACCAAATTCCTCTTATTGTTTACCTTCACGACTCGATGAACGCGTCTAATTGCACTCCTCCCTTTACCTCATTTCTCATCAACAGTCACCATCGCTGAATTCCCGCGACCCTGAGGCTGACAAGTACTCCATGCTACTGGTACGTTATTTTTGTTTCTCCATTCTCCGGTAGTTTGTTCTGAGTAACATTCGCCTTCATGCAATTTGACGGCATGATATCGTTGTATCAACAACCAGCTGAATGCTTGTGGCTCTCTTTTTATGAGGTTCCTCAAAAGCTTCGCCTACACCGATATAATAAGGCTGAGGTAGAGTCCAGAAGAGTAGGTGTGTTTTTTATTCGATCCGCTTGCTCTTGAGCTGACACTCATGATCGTGCCCATAGAGACATGCCTCGCATTATCCGAGAATAAATAATTTATTTATTTATTGCAATAGCTGGTCCGAATCGACACTTTAGTTTCCCAAAGCCATCACTGTGTCTGCTAACCAGCCCTGCGTACATGGTTGCGGTATCCTTTTAGGATATATGAAAAGTCGCTGTTTCTTCCAGAACTACCTGCGTTTCAGGTGCTAACGGAAGCGTGAAGCATCCTCTGAGCGTATACAAAGACAGCAGCGATGGAACAACAGATGACGGTCTTTTCGCTCCTTATCGGTGATTTTCATCTACTCTGCTATTACGCTTGCTAGTTAGATAGTTCAGCGCTGGTCGATAGGAACGACATTGTTGTGTTTTGCCTTGCATTCCATGTCTTGCAAGGTTGTAAGGTAGTGAACTGATCTCCACGCCGTCTAGCAGCTTCGGCGGGATGCGATTCAGAACTCATTGGTGCTGAGTCAAGATGATTTTCATTCCCTTGAGGAATGTTGGAACACGTAGTTGCTGAGATTCTTGGGAAACAAACACAAGCATTATGTCTTACGGTTGCTCCAAACCCGAGGGGTCAGTTAAACTTAACAATAAAAGTATGTGCATACTGCAGTCCACACGTGAACTTGTGGACCGGTATTCTTCTAATTTCCACTTTTTGAACAGGCCTAACGGCAAATAGCCCGCAGCAAACAATGCGTGGCTAACGTTTGTCACAAAATCCACACAGTCTTTGCCAAACTCTAGTTGTTCAAAAGACACTCTATGGTAACATGCGGATGATTGATAGGAAAGCCATGGAAAATTTACGGCAGTCATTCACTAATCTTTTGTTATGTGACATACCTACCCTAATTTAGCATGAGCTGTGTATGCAGCTTCATCTCGTGTTGCGTCGCCTGAAACAGAATACGATGCCTCTACACAAAACGTACTTCTATCTACTCAATTTAAGCATGAGGAAAATACCACTCAAAGACTCCGTAACAAAAGCTGTCCGCTGCTTGTAACGAGGACTAGAATAACCCCACATGTAATACCTTTATCGTCATCAGATTAGCTGTCTTGTAAAGCAACCTACTAATCACAATCAAGGCTTGTGAAAAGCCGAAATCATTTCATGCCAAACTCAATAGCTTCTTTTAGCTTGAAATGGTATGACCAATGTTGTCATCTGAAAGATATTCAAGGATGGACCGAACTGACATCAATATTCACTCATGCAAGCTGAATATGATTCGTTCTGTCCACACTGATCGGTTTCTACCTAAGGAAATGTTATTACCTTTTAGAGAAATGCAGTGTATTATTAATAATAATATTATTCTCATTCTTACGCCTATTATTAGCTGATGCATTCACTGTCGAGCACTGCTTTTAAGGTCTTGTCAGACCGTTGTTGTACGCTGGTATGTGGTCAACATTTTATCCCGTGTACCATCTTCACCTGCACTTCATGATGAAAATTTTCTTCCTTGCCTCCGTTTGACCACATCATTACTGGTGTTCTTAACAGGCAAACATCAAATGTGTTCTTGATCGTCATTCGAGTGGGACGTCTCCTGTGTCTAAGTCTGCGTCTGTCGCTGGGACACGTGCAACCACCGCTATCCACACTGAGAGACCGCCTCCGCAAGCCATAGTGACCGAATGGGGCGATAGTGTGTGTGACTATCCGCTGCATCGATTTCCTCTGCTTAATTCACACCACACCGCTGATCCACTGGCTCATTCGAGGAGTTGCCAATCGCTTCCTTCCGAACCACTAGGAAGCATTACCCATCGGTCGTCCGCACGCGATCGTGTGACGGGTTGGTTACACGCTGGCACTAGCATCGAGAGTGTTGTGCAGAGAGGAACACGTGCGTACGAAGAACACGAGAGCACGCAGCTGTCCGATGAGACATTGATCAGTCGACTGCTGTTCCCAACCCCTTGTGGACAGAAATGGTACGTATTACGAGTGGTTGATGCAATTTACCTACCTGCGTCTCCCAGCCACTGAGACGCATATCTTGTTTGTTTGTCTGTTTGGTTATTCGATTCCATTTCTAACTGATGTAGGATGATCACCAGTTCATAATACTCTCGCAAACAGGCCCTAGCGGATCGATTGGAGCTGCTCTCATGAAATCCCCTCATCGAAGCTGATCAGCTAATCTTACATTTAAGGTATTTAGTTCCCTTCAAAAACTTGAAATGCACGGGAAGAAGACGAAAGTGTTAATCGTATATGAAGCGCTGCTGCCTAGCCAGTGGCGTTTCGTTACGGTGATAATTTTCCAGCTATGTGAACTACTTCTTTTCGTACCCTGTGACCCCTTCTTATTTTATCGGAAGAAGTTGTTCCTCTTGAAGGTCATCCGACTTATTTTTGTGTGAGTGACAGGAGCTTGAATATTAGTTTACTGATTGTTAACTGGACACATCACATAGTCCTGTGACATCTGAGCTGCCTATGTATTTGATCGTACCAGTTGTGATTGAAAGAAACTCACTTTATCTGATCGACACTTAAATGTCCTTGGATATCATAAACAGCTTAACCGATGCGCATGTGTGCATGGACCTCTACACCTGCAGCGCTGGGATCACTTGGTAACTACCATAGGTTCTTGACACCCCATCAAATGGTTAACTCTCAAACGGCATGTAGATCTTAAATGTTGTAAAGACGCCCAGAGGGTGTCATGTACCTGTTTATTACAATTCGTGTATTTTCACGGCCGTGTACGGCAACATCATGATCGACGATGTCCATCGAAAACGGTCTACATGTTTCATGGCGATCACAAAAGACGGACTAGGTCACATACACCTCTTTTGCTCCATATTCCGCATTCCCGTCTCTTTGTAAATCCAATGTTCCTCGTCCGTGAGCGAGAATGATGCGGAGAGAACCGGTTCACCTCATTTGCGATGAATACCTACGCTACTTTGCTGCGTTTGAAAATAGACATCTGCCTCGTATACTACACATGCATCAGCTTGGCCATAGCGACTCTGTTCAGAGTTGCATCTATGACAACCCGACTAGTTCAGAGAGCGAAAAATCACCATTATGACCGAGGACTTCTATTTGTAGTTTATATGGGTGGTGCCGAGTTTGTAAGTTCCCCTCTATAGTCTTTTCCACAAACTTGCGTGAAGTAAAAATTTTGCAAATAAAATTCAACATGTTGCAAAACCCTGTGCGATTCGCCAAGCGCTCTAATCAGCAAGTGTGTCCAACCAAACGTGTTCACCGTTCTTAGGACCCCAGCCAGGCAGTCGGGATGCACCAACCGACGCCAACTTCGAAGTGGGGGTTTTCATTTCTCTCGACCAAGTCATCGCTTGACCTTCCCTCTTCCACTTCTAACCACACGCTCGGCGGGTGAACAATGCACATGGCGGGAGTGGGTGTGCTGGCATGTGCAACAAGTGTCCCACACATGGGAGCCTGATGCGTGATCTAATGGTGCTGAGCGGTCCACTCGCTATTCAAGCACGAAATACGCGAATCCGAACACGCTCATTGCTCACGCGATACTTCCACCAGGTATGAGCTAAGCTGCGGAGGCAGCGATGATCGAACGTGATTAGCGTCTTTATGTCTATCGACCTAATGGGTCAGGTTTCACAACCGTATAAGAGGGTTGCATGGACGGCTGCATTATAAACTCTGACCTTCAGGGTAAGAGTGATGTCCCGTCTATACCGCAGGTGGCGGAGATTGTCAAAAGTCCCTCCAACTTTTGTTATACGGTTTGTCATCTCAGCTTCGATCCTACGAGCGTTAATATAGCTGCCCACGTACCTGAATTCCTGAACGACTTCGAACTGATCACCACCAAGGATCAGCGCAGGGGTGGATCCATGCCAATCTTGGAGATGAACTTTGCATTTCGATGGAGCAAAGCATAGCCCAAAACGATTGACAGCCAGTGCTAGTCGGTCCAGTGCAGCCTGGCACGTTTGGGTTCTGTCACAAATTAGGGCAATGTCGTCCGCATACTCCAGATCAAGAAGTCGGTCACCAAGAAGTAGCTCCACACCTTCTAGGTCGTGTCCAGCGAACTCTGTATCCATGCCTTCATTAATAGCATAGTTATAGAGAAAAGATGACGGCGAGCAACCTTGTCTCACACCTCTGGAGATATTGAAGGGCGGCGACAGTTCGCCATAAACCCTCACTCTGCCTGAACTATGCACCAACAGTGTTTTGATAATATTTACATATTTGTCGGGCACACCTTTTCTCAGTAGACACTCCCAAAGGGCACATCGATCCACCGAATCGAAGGAACCTTTTGTGTCGAGAAACACGACAACGGTGGGTCGCCAATAAACATGGCGGTGCTCCAACAATTCACGCAAAGTGAAGATGTGATCGATGCAACCTCGATTTAGAGGAAACGCGGCTTGCTGTTTGTGGGTCTGGCCTTCACGAGCACCAGTCAGTCTGTGGAGAACGACAGAGGTAAGTAATTTAGAAGCGATTGGGATCATGCGGTTCTCTATGATTGCGGAATTACGAACGGGATCCTCCCTTTAAAATTGGGACTATGACGGTGCGGCTCCTGTTTGTCGGACAGATTCCTGCTCCCAAAATCCCGTTAGCAACTCGTGTAAATCATCCACAATAGCAGGTCCTCCGCAGTTGTAGAGAGCTGGGGGAATTCTATCTGCACCAGCGGTCTTTTCCAATTTCAACAGTCTGATCTCATGTTCGACTTCTGCGTGTGAGGCGGATCTAAGGAGACGGCCCATGGAGAAGGGCACTCAATGTCCGTAAGAGAAAGCGATAACTCAGATTGGTTAACTTACCTTGCAAAGCGTTCGATCAAACGCTCCAAGCGTTTTCACAAGCTGTGGATCGACTGTCCACACTCGTCGCGTATGGCCTCGCTAACACCAGATCTCCTGCTGCCTATTTCCCGTATCAAACGGAATAACTTACGACGATTACCAACGGCAGCGGCTGTTTCCATTTCCGATGCACGATAACACCACCAGGCTTCGCGGTCTCTCTTTAGGCTAGCACTCAGTTTTGCCCTGAAAATTTTGCGAGTCTAATTTTGTTGGTTTCCAGTCGGAATGCTTCGGTGAGCATCCATGAGCTTCAGAGACTTTGTAGCTACCCAATGTCTAGGTTGGCTGTTTGATTGGCCGCATGAAGACATGCCTACTGATGGTAACATTTGACGAATATGCGACCAGTGATCGTCGACAGTGTTCAGTGGACGTTTACTCAGCCCAGATGCCAGCGTAGTTTGATACGCATTCCGAACACCTGGCTTCTGCGGTTGACAGGTGACGATGCGCTCAGAGCGACATTGCGGACGTCCGCCGAAAGGTACCCGAAGGTCGGCACACACAAGTGCGTGATGGGAATCCACGCTGGTGCTCCAAATCGAACGACGGTTTTGGACACGGCATCTCCAGTGTTAACTAATCGCGATATGATCGATTTGCGTCCATAGATGGTCCGAGACTAGTGGGCACCTAGTCACCCTTCTGCGGGGGCTATGTCGAAAATTAGTGCTCGCGTGAAAGAACCCAGCACCTTCACACAGGTGTAACAACCGCTCACCGTTATCATTACGGGAGCCTACACCATGTTGGCCGGGCAGATGAAGCTCAACAGAGAACAATTTTCCTACATGGGCGTTTAGACCACCAGCAAGCATCATAGTATCCTTACTTCTTCTGTAACGAAGAAAATCGTTAAGTTGGTGATAGAAGTCATCCTTCACCTAATTAGCGCTGCAGTTTGTGGGGACGTAAGCCGCAATGACAAACAGGCACCGTTTGTCCCCGCGCGTCTTCGGAGCCTGGAACGAGCCAGCCAACCTAACGGCACTCATCCAGCTGTTGACAGGGATCCAGTCGATTAGGGCCGCTTCATCCTGCGGACTCAAAACAATGCCGACGCCAGCTTGACCGGCATTTGAAGCTGCACTATCGCCAGATAAGGCGTAATGAGAATGTGTCGCCAGTGTCGCATGTGGGGGATCACAGAATAAGCACGGACCTCGAATCTTGCAGGCGGGTTTCCGACAAACAGAAAATGTAGATCGATAGTGTCTCGAGTGTTCGGGCAAATGCTGCCTGTTGGCCAATCTGTAGCGAACTGCGCGCCTTGAGGCATGCCACTGTTAGCGAGGATCGGGGACTCCAAAGGGAAACGGATGAATCGACGTTGTTCGCTTGGTTGAACATGGACTAGTCGAATGGATTGGAACGCAGCCCTGCCATTTTGTGTGCGTTGAGTCTAGAAGATAAGCGACTATTCAAGCAAGGTGGTGGAACGCCAAGAATTGGAGGATTGAAAACGGGGGGTGAAAGTGAAAATTGAAACGGGAGGCTAAAGGATGAAAAAGCACAAGAAGGCCTAAGGAGTCGCATCCAAACCCCTATCTACCCTGCTCGATGTAGCAAACAGGGCACCGTTTACTATCTTCTGTGACGGCCAGAGCATCAGGAAACTGTTTGAAGTGAAATTCGTTGTATTGCATGGGCAGAATACTATCAGGTTGCTTATGTCTAAACAGGAGAACGATTAGGGTACGCTTTTGATAGTGTCCTCATCCGACGCATCGGTGCCGATAAAAATCTTCCATGTCATCACGAAACCTGTCGTTTTTGCTACACCGCTAGCACCACGATAGTGGACAATATCCTATCTCTCACTGTTGTCATCTTGGCCATTGCGCGGATAACGCGGAATTCGATCGACTAATTAAATGGTTCGCTTTCGTGCTTGCCTATTTCCTAAGACTACCATCCTTCTTAGTTCCTCGCATATTTCCAACACTGCATTGACTAGAACCTCTTGTTGAAAACTTCACCATGGTATTTGTTTGCATCTGCGAGTCCCTTCTAAATGACATACGTTTCACAAATCATTCTTCTTCTTCTTCTATGTGTCATTTTAGCATGGAAACAATAAGCGAAATTGACTACTCCCTATCCTCCAGCTTCATCAGCGCGAATCTAGGACATTTAGACACCCTGACGAACAACTCCGGGTCGTCCAACATGGAATCAGACGAGCAGACCACGATTGTGGATGACTCAGCCACGGACACTGATCAGAGTGTATTCCTGGCTGGCTTAGTGGAAAAGTATTTGCAACGACGAGTAGATGTGCCCAAAGCACCCCACAGGCGAGCGATGCAACCCACTTCAAAAGCTAAACGAATACCATCAAAACGCGAATCGGCCGACGTTACACGGTTTGGTGGTCTAAACCCGATGGATGTCAGTCTAGCCACCCGCGACTATTTGAGTCGACACGGTATTCTTGGCGAACATGAAGGTGATCCCGACCGGTTGAGCCCCACTCATGATGATCACCATAAAGTCAAGCCCACAAAAAGCATACCTCCGGCTTCTTCGACTCTCATCCACCCTAACAAATTGGATGCTTGCTGTTACTACGCCTCTTCGCCTAGAGACCGATCAGCTATATCTGCGTCCCCTGTACCAAATCTGTTAGATGGGCTTATAATTCAGCAATCGCCCTTGACCGACACTTCCTGTGCGTCCTCTCGTGCACACGCTTCAGATGAATGGTTTCCTGGACATCCCTACAGACACACTACAAGTGATACCACGCACCAAATTCTGGACATTGAGCATTTACGTTCGCTGCCAAAACTCCTCTAGTTCATGCTTTTGCTTGTACGACCACTTGTTTCACTCTAATTTCCCTGCGTTTACACAATTGTTTTGCAACCTTTTCTTTGCTTTCTCCCTATATACAAATGTTTCTAAAAGAACTGTATGTATTTTGAGCCTTTGGCTTACAAACATTTGACGTACTTGTACGTACCTACTCAGGGGTTGGAAAAACTACGTATACAGTGGAAGTGTCGCTACGGCAAGCACGCTAGCGCAGATCGTCTTCGTACTCAGGCGCGCCGCGCAATTGCTTAGTAATTTTTAATATGCCTTCACTTACGACGCCTAAAAGAAGCAGTACATCGTGTGGTGTACATGGCACTAAGCTGATCTGCTGTGTTAACGTCGCGTCTTCTGGCTTTTATCATCACGAAAACTCAGGAGGCAGGGTCCTCGGAGTGAGATGCCTCCCTTCGGATCGGCTCGAAACACAAGGGAAAATGCGTGCGATCGTCATCCGGAAAAGGGATCAAACCTTGTGTGCACGCAATGGGATTATATTGTGATTTGTAGTTGTGGATGGGTCCAGTCGACTTCTCTGGAGAGTTGCAGGTGGCACGGTACTCGGTGTCTCGTGGCTTTCTGGTTGTGGATGGTTAATCAATTATACTATATGGCCACCCCTTAACTCCAGGCGGTGGCATCTAAGAGCCACGCGTGCAGCCGATGTGAAGTTTTCATCAGCGTCCTACACTCGGAAGTAGATTGACTCGTACAAATCACGCAGTGATGCGCAGTGAACATTACTTTTAGTATGCTTGTGATTTTTCTCCTCATATAGTGCGTTTCTTTGTCACATCCTGCGAGAACCCAGAATGATTGTTCGATTAGTAACATCGCTTGAAACGGTCGGTTTGCTAGAATGGTCTTTAGAGTGTAGTGACTTCACCTAGGCAATTAGAAGCACAGCACAAGGTCACGGAGAACAAAATGGAGGGTGTCTGTGTTGCTCTCTCTCATCCCTGCACTCTACGATTGATGGTCTCGTCCTTGTTTGAAGTTATCTGGCATAGATAACCTAAATTGGGTGCGGAACTCATCACATAATGGTTGGCAGCTATGGCCATGATCACTAGATCAATGAGATCTTCCAGCAAAACTTGACACTGCGGTTAGAAATTGTTTGTCTGGTCTTGGAGTACCCGTTAGGTATCTTGGATTGCGATACACAATCCCAATTGTGCCTGTGGCCGTGGAGTGCAGGGATGGAAGAGAGCAACACCGAAGCCGTCCATTTCAGTCGGAGACGGCCTCAATCATCGGGATGGCGCAGGCTGGCTTCAAACTCAACCGAAGCCATAACTGAGATTGTGTGTCGCAATCCAAGACACACAGCGGGTGCTGTAAAATCCCAAAATTCAAATTCTAACCGCTGTATCAAGCACTACTCACGGAGCTCAATGGCCTAGTGGTCATGACGATAGCCACCCACCGATGTATGCGTCGCGCTTTCCTGGATGTGTGGTGGCTGTCTGCCTGAGTCTAGCTGCGACGAATCTTCACAAAAGCTTTGGATTCCATAAGGATGGAGCTGCGCTTAACGTTGCACAATGCTTAATAATGGTCTGAAAACCGAGTTAAAGCGGTGATAGCCTGTTCGATTCTAGGCCACATCGGAATGTGGGCATATTGGTCTTAAGTACCTACCCTTATCGCATATACGTATGGTCTGAGAGATGAATCAAAGCGGTAAAAGTTTGTATTCTTTTAAGCCACATCGGCACATTGCCAGATGTGCGTGAAGGCGCGGGCGAAACGTTTAGGAGTACAAGCCCGCATGAAAGCAGGCCTCCAAGGTACGGTTCCGCGAATGGACGTATTACTTTGACTGAATCTTTGAATGTTTTCTTTTTAAAACCTGCTGCATTTCTTCACATTTTTAATTCATTGGTTCCCTTCTCTGGTTCGAATGGTGTATCCTGATTATATAACCATAGCAGACTGGACCTTAACGTGCTGCCACGGTTTGCGTACCTCATTGACCCATTGAGCTAGATTGATTGGTGCCTCAGGGCCCCTTGAGAGCTACTCCTACCAGGTTGGTCAGTGGTGGAAGACCAGAAAAACTCAGTCTCCTGGTCCTCCAGGTTGGGGGTTTGAAATGGGATGGCGTCCATTTCTGTAAAACTAAATCATTGCCACTTCCCCGCTGCTTTGCAAGGTTTTGGTTGAGGACCCTACTCGTCCTACTGTCTAGGTCTGGGCGCCTTGGCAATATCTCAGCCCAAATACAACCATGACATTTTCTTCAAACATAAACTTCATCCTACATCGGCCGTCGCTCAGATTATCAAGGGTCGCCCTATCTGCTGCATACAGTAGGGCGGATAAGCGAAAACATGCTACTGCTGGCGCCTCCCTTCTTTCTTTTCCACCTTTTTCTCTTACTCCCATCCCGACCCCCATTACTAACCTTCCTTCTATAATTCCCAACTTAATTGACAGCAACCAGTGCCACTGGAGTAGAACCATCTGCAGCCACCATCCCACCGCACCTATCGGCAAAAGTCCCTTATAAGACCACTCTATCCCGTTTCCATGGCGGCATTCAACGTCCGCACTCTAAGACCAACAGGTCAACAAGCCGCACTTGCACGCACCTTGGACACACTGGGTATTGATGTGCGTTGTGTGTCCGAAACTAGGATAAATGACCCTAACAGGGTTATTGAATTAACTGCACCCGGCTTATCCTCTCGTTATTGGTTGCACGCATCCGGAGACATCAATACAGGACTCACGGATCAAGCTGGTGTAGGTATCATTCTAAGCTCCAAAGCTGTGCCATCGTTGGTTGATTGGATTCCGGTGAACAGCCGTTTATGTGCAGCCCGTTTGACGACATCAGCTAAGGTTGATTCACGAAGTAGTACGAAACGCTGTTTGTTTGTGATTTCCGCTTATGCTCCCACCGACTGCAGTTCTAAATCTGTCAAGGACACATTCTATGACGTACTGAACGCGCTAATACGCAGTGCTACTAGTTCAGATATTATAGTACTTGCAGGGGATATGAACGCACAAGTAGGGCGTCTGAGCTCTTCAGAAGCTCAGCTGGGTGGTAATTGTGGGCTTAACTCCGAACGGAATGACAACATTGAGCGTCTGCTGCAACTGTGTGCGGAGCACCAGTTGTTTGTTAATAGCACCGCTTTTAGACACAGTGGGCGCCGAAGTGCCACTTGGCGTCTTGTTGTAGCTGGCCAGCGATGGACCCAAATTGACCACATAGCCATAAGTTTCAGGTGGCGTGGTTCCATCCTGGACTGCCGCTCGTACTGGAGCGCCTGTGTCGACTCTGATCATGCCTTGGTACGCTGTCGTTTCTCCATGAACTTTACCGGGAGGCGCATTAAGCCTCCCATACGATTGGCAACTGAGAAATTGTCTTAGTCCTCGGTCAGGCATGCCTATCAAGAAGCACTGCATACCGAACTTTAGCTGTCTTGTCCTAATGACACTGAGCTTCAGTGAATAGGATCTCGGCCGTCATGCACGACGCAAGAGCATCTGCTTGTGGCACTATCCACCGTCACCGCACCAGTCACTGGATATCCGAGAGGTCAGTGAACCTGTTAGAATCTAGAAGACACCTCCCGGCTGGCTCTGAACTCAATGTGACCAGACGGGCTATTAGGCGTGAACTAAAGCAGAGCCTACGTGCTGACAAGGAGATCTAGTGGACCAGTAAGGCTCAAGAAATGGGTGAGGCAAGAGTAATAGGCAATAACTGCAAGCGCTTCCAGCTAATCCGCACCACTGGTCCCAGAAAGCCAGGCGTCAGTGAGGCAGTCAGAGACAGCGCGGGTGTGCTGATACACAATAAGGAGCGCCGTATGGCTCGTTGGGCTGAACGCTTTGAAGATCAGTTCAGCTGGCCCCCTGCTCCCGGACTCTTCCTACTCAGGTGATACAGGCCGAGCCATGGACGGTTAGTTTAGAACCTCCGTCGGAGGCCGAGGTCCGAAACGCCATCACAGCCCTCAATCGTTTTCGTGTCGCTGGCCCGGATTCCCTCCCACCTGCACTATTTAAGGATGGAGGTGAGGTCCTCTGCGAAGCACTGACCTCCATATTCGAACGTATTTTTAAGGAAGAGAGTGTCTTGGCTGATTGGAGCGAATCGATTATAGTGACAATATACAAGAAGGGCAGTCGCACCGACTGTTCTAACCACAGGGGTGTTAGCTTAACGCCAGTTGTGACAAAATTATTGGCCTCGATTATCGTTCGTCGTCTCACTGCGGAAGGGGAATCTCGGATTAGGGAGGAGCAGGCAGGTTTCCGCCCAGGACGTGGCTGTATGGACCATATATTCACTTTGCGGCAGGTGCTAGAGCAGCACCACGCATACCGCAGACCGACAATAGCTGTGTTCCTCGATTTCAAGAGTGCCTTCGATTCAGTCGATCGATCGATTCTGTTCGAAATACTTGCGCGGAACGGTGTTCCCACGAAATATGTGAACATCCTTCGTGCTCTATATTCGAACACTACAGGCCGCGTCAGGATCTACGGTGATTTGTCAAGTAGCGTCCCGACCACAAGTGGCGTTCGTCAGGGTTGTCCGATTTCCCCATTTTTGTTCAATTTCGTCGTGGATTCTATCATTGAGTGTTCCCTTGCGGAATCTCACGATGTAGTCGTTGAAGTGCTGCCTGGTGAAAGGTTAGTTGATCTAGATTATGCAGACGATATCGTCTTGCTTTTCGACGATGTTGGGGTGGCACAATCAACCCTGAATAGCCTGTCCAGAGTGGTCCCATTATTTGTTATGCACTTCGCACCTTCAAAGTGCAGTGTTGCTGCAGGACCACCAGCCACTTGATGACCCTTGACGCTTGCTAACTTGGAACTCGAGGTGGTTGATCATTTCACTTATCTTGGCAGCTGCATCAGCAATGATGGGCGCATAGAAACTGACGTCAGCTCATGCATTGCAAAAGCCAGAGCTACCTTCTTGAACCTGCGGCATCTTTGGCGACAGAAGGGCGTTTCCCTTCGTCTGAAAGGCCATGTATTCAAGGCCACAGTGAGGGCCGTTCTGCTCTATGGTAGTGAGACTTGGCCCCTTCGGTCTGGAGATCGG